TGTATGTTTTCTCATAGTCCACTTTTCTCAATTAAAAATATTTATATCTGTTTAGTGCTGGTGAGCTTTTCCCTACATGAAAAAGTTATTGACATGCACTTGAAATGTAGAAGATATTTTTTTTGTAAAAAAAAAAAAAAAAAAGGTGTTGCCCATTCACCATTTCTGAATTAATTAATACATTTCATATCTTCATATTCCTGAGCTCATTTTTTCATGCCTTAACAAAACAAATCAGAGTAATAATAATTATTCTCTTAAAGCAAGGCCTGGGAAATTTCTCAAGGTCTTTCCTCTTGGTTATTCGGCCCACTAGACTGTGAGCACTGATCTTGATTTTTGACCATCTGATCTTGATTTGCTAACATTGATTTGCTAACTTTTTCTAGAAAAGACAGTATGACATCCTTAAAGTTATGGTAAACTTCAGCATGCAACCATCTGTTTGGATTCCTCAGTTAAAGGGTGACAATTACAGCTGAAAGCATCTTTAGACCAGTGGAAGAACTGAGCTTACACTTTTGGCAAATGCCTAACTCTAGAGAAGAGCACGTGGCTGTGAATGATGCTTCCATCACAGCATACAAATTCTCGCTGCATTTCTTGTGTTTCTCTTGGCTTGCGTAAACAGGTTTCCACTCAGCTTGCAGGCTTTTATAGACTTTCCTTATGAGAAGTAGACGGGGTCTCAGCCAGAAGCCCCATGGCTGTGGGTTATAATACATGACCAGGGCTTAGACTCATCCCACTTAATTTTAGTCCTCTAACAGTGGCATTTATCTTCAGAAACTAATGACTATATAGTTCAGTTGGGCTGCATGGGGAGTTGAAGCACACATAAGATTTGAGTTTCTCTGAAGTTGTCTTGCCTCTTTTTGTTAATTGCAGGAAGAGTTTGGGACATACAGCCTTGAAATCTAGGCAATTCAGTTATATTTCCAGAATTGTGTGGGACAAATCTTCACACAAGTGTCTAAATTTTGGATGTTGCTATGCTCAACATTACAATTCCTTGTTCCTTTTTTTTTTTTTTTTTTCCCCCCCCCCCATTGGGAATTTGTTGTTTCAATGCTAAATTTCTAGGTTTCTATAGAACGTGGATTAATATCTAGGGATTACTTTGTATGTCTAAGCATAGGTATCTAGTGCCCTATGAGATGTCCTAGTGCGTGCAGAATACCCTTGTGTAAGGATGGCAGGCCTGTGCAAAACCTGTGCTTTTCTAGAGAAGCAGCTGAAGGACAGGAAAAATACCTTATGTCACCTAAAATTATGTTAGACATTTCTGTTTTGGCAACTGAATTCAGCCCCTACTAGTATGAAGTGAATTTGGAAGAAAGAAATGGGATTTAGTTGCCTTACACCCTGGTAATTCCAGCTTTTTCACTTGAAAATCTTAGTTCATGTTATCCCTGACATCGGGTAACAAACATAGTCAATCAATACCTCACTGAGGTGTTTCAGCTTCAGTTGGTGTACGTCAGTCTTTGTGAGCCCATCTCTACAGATTGAATTGTATGTTTGCACAGATGCAGGTCCAGGAAAGTTGCTGTCTATTAGAATATATATATTAATAGCTTCCCTGAGCTCCCTCTGTGATACCATAGGTCATCAAAATATTTCCTTAGAACAAAAAAATCTTTCTCTCTCTCCCCCTCTCTCTCTTGTAAAGCACATCTTGAGAGAAGCACTACCTCATCAAACTATTCTGTAAGAGAGTGCTTCCCTCCTCTTCCTTTGAGCCATATTTCACTGTCATATATAAAACAGATGTTATGAATTAAGACAAACTACCAACAAAGTATGAATAAAACAACTACTCTATATTTATTGTTGGAGGTAGCTGAGATGGTTATAAATACTTGTCTTTACATTGGAGAGACACGAGTTTGGTGAATGGACAACTTGGTGGATAAGGAATTGGCTGGACGGTTGCACTCAAATAGTTGCAGTCAACAGCTCAAAGTCTAAGTGGAGACTAGTGACGAGTGGGGTTCCTCGGGGGAACTGGAAGGTGTCTGTGCCCATGGCAGGGGGATTGGAACTAGTTGATCTTTAAGGTCCCTTCCAACACAAGGCATTCTATAAATCTATGGAAGACCAGTTGACTAGCAGTAAAAGCCAAAGAGAACTACCAGACATTTAGCATTCCTCTTTTTTTCCTTCCCAATACCTGCACTTCAGTAATGTTTTGCTCACAGTAAGCTCTTTTGAATTCATTACACATAGACTGGTGACAAGACAATCATTATAGACTAGACTGAAGTCACAGCAGATGAAGACAGGATGGATCAAACACTCCTAGGTAAATCAGATCAATGAAACATATTCAGGCAAAATAAACAAAGATCTCATTCAAGGCTTTGAATGGTTTACTGCTGACTTTACACTGTTCTGGCTGCATCAGCACATCTTCCTCATGTAGGTACAAGTTATAGCTTATATAAGTTTTCCAGGAAAATAAACCAACTTCTTGTAATAATAAAAAAGTAATAATAATAATTAACTGGTCTAATCCATGCCATGGTTGCCAAATCATGTGAACAACCATGCTCACAGCCAGCTTGAGTGCAGTGGGATTCCTTGTTGCAGCCTCAACATTGGATGATCAAGTTTATGTTGTGTCAGGTGTTTGCTGGCCCTGGGTGCAAGATAGGTCCACACATGCATATTGGCACCCAGTAATTAAAACAGCAGAAGCACAACTGATTTTCCAGACTCCCATTAGCCTGGATGACTGGGAGCTGGCAGTATTGACACACTTTTGTGCTGATATAGCTTGTATTTGCCTTCAGGTTTTTGCTGTTATAGGCATGATGTAAAAAAATCAAAATTTTAGCTAACTATCTATGTTGGTAGAAGCATAGTCCTGGTCAAATAAAGACAGAAACATTTTAAATGATGCTTAAATCCATTACTGTAAACTTACAGGTGAAAGTGGCTAGTTTCCTTCATGGTTAACTTTCATGCTTGTACTATGAGCTAAAGATTGGCAGAAGATGTGGAAGTGAAAAAAAAAAAAAAAGACTTGTTTATTTGTTTTCTATTTCTTCCTTCTCTCTGAATATTTGAAAGCTACTATGACTTCATCGCATGATCGTTTTTAAAAATGGAAAGTGAATTTATATTTACAGGTTATTTGCATGCACTCAGTAAGGTTGGATTCATATCATTAAAAGAATACATCAGTTATCTATTTTGACTTACAGCCTTTGACCTTGCACAAAAATGAAATCACTCAAACTCATTTTCTTTGTTTCTTTCTGTTACACAGCTAAGAAGAGCACATGTACTCAGAAGCAGTTAAAAACCACAATTACTAGGTTTGCATCATTTGCCATGGCAATAAAAAACATATGAAAATGATGAATAATGTGCAGGAAAGCTCTGCTGTGATCACCATAGCAGTTTTAAAATGTGTACCTGCATATGTTTTATTCGCTGTATGCTGGAGATTGCCTGATGCAAATTAATTTGGTAGAAATGTAAGCAGATAGCCACAGCTGCACTTCACAATTTTCCAGCAATCCTACTAAGAAAGATCTACAACTTTTACCACAAATGGCTATGCTGAGGCAGACATCAGTACCGAAATAAACTGGTCATCAGTTTACCATGGGGTTACTCATAAATGTATTGGATATTGGATTTTGAGTTGGTTTTGAAGTCAGATTGTTTATCGCTCCAAAGAGACATGTTAGAAATCATTCTATCAAAATTCATTACTGGAATTAATTTTAGGTTACTCCATTGCCTACAAGATTTCACATCTTTTGCCTTCCATAATATTTATTCTGGTTCCCAAAGGACAATATCTTATGAATTACTTCATAGGTTTAAGGAAGAAGTAATTTTTTGAAGTATTACTTTGGCTAAATATTTAAGCCATTTGTGACTACAAGTTAAGCTTTTAATTTAAATGATAAAATGTGCATTCAGCAAACTGAGGTGCCTCTTTTAGCCTTACTATTTATTGTTCTTTATGATATTATTGGCAGAAAAATGAGGTGAGTGAACTTAGAGGACAGACCTGTCAGGGTTCAGGAGGGAAAGAAACTCTATGGAGTCAGCCCTATGCTGAAGGTTTGCCTCTAAAAACACAGTTTAAAACAAAGATTCCCCTGGCCGATCGTGACAACAGGTTTTGTCTCATCTGCAGAGGGATTTTTTGTACAACATTAAATCAAGATTTCAAAGCTGAAGAGTATGGGCAATGATGAAGAATGAAGTTTGTTGAGTGTGGTTTTAACAGTTAATTGAATGCTTCATAACGGTCTTGCACCCAGGGACGAAGAGTACAAGCAGACCCCATATTTCTTTCCCATTCATTTGTTGACTCATTTAATCTAACCTCTGAAAAAAAAAATTGTCTCTGTAGATTTTTTTTTGGCCTCCAGATAGCTCTGTAATAAACAAGAAGAATATTTGAGAAAGGAACAAATTATAACTTGTTCTGCTAAAAGCTTGAGATAATGTTTATTTTTCTTTTTTGATTCTGTCTTTTGTGAGAGATATTGCCTATAGTCAGAACACAGAGCACAAGAAGTAAGGCAGAGGAGAAGTGTGTGAGTGCTTTGCTGGACATTAGGCTTGCTTATCCTCACTGGTCTGATCAGCTCATTTCTCACTGACTTCAAAATCAAGTCTCCCATTTAGTCCACATCTTATTATTTAACTGTTCTTCTTTTAATAATAATGTACTGGAAAGATAGGAAAAAGGTGTTAAATTAAAAGTGCTTACTGTTTCTTCTAATTTTGTTGTAATGGAAAAGAAAAGAAAGAAAAAGAAAGAAAGAAAGAAAGAAAGAAAGAAAGAAAGAAAGAAAGAAAGAAAGAAAGAAAGAAAGAAAGAAAGAAAGAAAGAAAGAAAGAAAGAAAGAAAGAAAGGAAGGAAGGAAGGAAGGAAGGAAGGAAGGAAGGAAGGAAGGAAGGAAGGAAGGAAGGAAGGAAGGAAGGAAGGAAGGAAGGAAGGAAGGAAGGAAGGAAGGAAGGAAGGAAGGAAGGAAGGAAGGAAGGAAGGAAGAAAAAATGAAAGACAGAAAAAAAAAGCAGACGTTCGTTTAGTTCAGGAAACTACTCTGCCATTTTTTAATTCACAACATCTTAAATCAGGAATTTCATGTTTAGCTGGTTTCCAAACATGGAAGCCAACAAAGCCTTATAGAGGTTGATGAGCACTGTACTGACACAGCTCCTTGCTCATTGTTCTCGTCTGGGGGCTTTATGGACATATCAATTGCATCCTGCAAACACATGGTAGATATCAAACCAAGCCAGCTGCCCTGTTATTCAAGGCTATGACATTTTATACATTGCTCTAGCACTTCTACCATTCTCTCCTTCTGCAGAACACCTTATTTTAAGATGCAATAGGACTGAAAATTACCTTAGACAACTTCCTAAGACAGTATTTAATTGTTAAGACCTGTGGAGAATCTTGGAGGGATGATGCTACAGAGCAAACTACCCTGCTTGAAGGTGTTGAGAATGCCTGGACAGGGGTATTAGCCACTCCTGGAAGGCAGATGATAGTGTTTGTTCACCAGGGACATTCTATCTGACTCCAGCCATATTCATCTGGCAGTGAGTCTAGGCCTTTACTTTAAAATAGGAGAGACCTCATTGAGTGAGTCTCATTTTGTCTGAACTGATTTGAGTATTTCTGCTGTAAATCAAGTCTTACATAGTGTTTGCCTATACAGCCCTGAAGCAGGTCACATAAATGAAAGCTTAATCCTGGGCAGTGCTGGTCAAGATTTGTTAGTTGAATATTTCTCAGCTGTGAAGTAAGAACGTGGAAACTATAGGAAATATTCATGTTTGTGGGTGAGACAGTGAGCAAAAATGGATGAGAGAATGGAAAACAATCAGTTGTCTCACATATGGCCCAGGGGACCAGGGAGGTTGCCTCTAAAGCAGGTCTGAGCTTCAGGGTCTCTCTTTCTACATAGGCAACAGCAGATGAGCCACAACTTCCATCTTTCCCAATGGAAGATTTTTGGGGGATTTTTGTAAAATGGGGTAACCTCAGGCTGGCAGCCAGCCATCTAGTGGGGATCCACCAGGCTCCATTTTAGGAGCAGTTCTCTTTAATATGTTCATAAATGACTTGGATGTAGGACTTGAGGGTATACTAAGAGACTGTGGGTGTCATTAAATTAGGAGGAGCTGTTGACTCTCTCAAGAATAGAGAGGCCTTGCAAAGAGATCCTGAAAATTTAGAGAGCCTAGCAATCACTGACTGCAAGAAGTTTATCAAGAACTAGTGCCAGACTCTGCACCTGGGAAGGGGCAACCTGTGACTGTACATACAGTCTGGAGGACAAGAAACTGCAGATCCCATGGAAAGCGATCTGGGGGCTGGTCAACAGCCAGTTGAATATGAGTCAATAGTGTGCCCTGCCAGCCAAAAGGGCCAGCTGTATCCTGAGGTGCATCAAGCACAGCACTGCTAGCTGGCTGTCGGAAGTGATCGACCCACTTTGCTCTGCGCTGGTGTGGACTCACCTTGAGTACTGCGTGCAGTTTTGGGTGCCACAGTATGAGAAGGCCATAAAACTATCAGAGAGTGTCCAAAGGAGGGCTAAAAAGACTGACTTTTATTTAAACTATTTCCATTTTCAGCTCAAAGAACAGATCATTCTGTTCATGCCAATGAGATCACAGGCCCAGAACAGGGTGGGGGAGTAGTGAGAAAATTTACAGGAGAGGAAACAGCCCTTGTTGTCCTGTTGTCAACACATTATGCCCAGACTTACAGGACTTGGGGATAGAGAATGCAGGGCTGCAACTTGTTTTTATAATCTGTTTTCCAGGCTGGGATTTCATCCATTCCCTCTTGTCAATGTAAGGAGTCAATTCTTAATAGGCAATATCCTGAAGTTAAGGCAAGCAATAATTTAGGCAAAAGTAGGGAGGTGTTTGCTGCTGAAGCCACATTAGATATACAAGACATGACAAAGAAACATGGCAAGAGTAGTCCTACAAAGTGCAAAGTTTACTAGCTAGCCCTGGATGTCCTGATGATATTTGTTTATTTATCTGGACGTGGTCTTAGTGATTCCATGACTAACATTTTAATTAATGAAAACAAGTGTCCTGGCAACCAAATTGCATTGATGATGATTGTTATTTGAAAGTCTTGAGTGAGAGAGGGAGTTATCTCTAAGAACAGTCTGCAGAATTATCAGTGATATATTTTCTTGCAGGGTTTTTAGTGTGACACTACAGAACAGTCTGTTCCTGCCTGGTGGACCTGGGGCGTTGTGCCCTGGCTCTTCTCATTCTGGATGCAGCTCTTATAACACAGAGATGGAGCACCAGGGTGGCTGCCTCAGACTCTGGCTAACCAGTTTCCATATTTATTTTATTTTATTTTATTTTATTTTATTTTTATTTTATTTTATTTTATTTTATTTTATTTTATTTTATTTTATTTTATTTTATTTTATTTTATTTTATTTTATTTTATTTTATTTTATTTTATAATTTTTCCCCTCCATTCACATGTATATCTGGTATAGTTCCTTTTAGCATCTGTTACTTTCTGGTTTAATCTTCTATATCTTTCTTTCTTGCAAAACCATGACAATATAATAATATTATATGAACCTGCTTAGACTTCCAGACTTGCGTTTCTGGGAATGTGTTTCTGAACTTTTTTTTTTCCTCCTTCACATACTCCTGGGTTTAACAACAACAAAGACCTATATTTTAACACATTTCTTCAGGCAAGGAACTGAAGCTGAATTTGCAATTTTTGAGATTGTGACTCAGAACCAGCCCTGAGTTGAGAGCAAGGGGAAAAGGAGGTTTCCCTAGAAAGGCCTCATTTTATCTATACCCGTAATAAGATCTATTAAGGTCAATAAATCTAAATGTCAGTGTAGCTGACCTCTTGCTGACTTCTCTACCTTTTTCTGCTCTGGGACAATTTGTGCTCCTGTTATTGGTATTGTTCCTGGGAGTAACTGTCAACTTGCAGCAGGACCTTTCTACTTTCCTTCTTTTCACATCTCCTTTAGTTTTGCCCACTGCCCTGTGAAATCTCTGCCAGCAATGTACAGAGTTTATAGGGCTTTCTTCTTGAAATTTGTCATATTCTTTGTTCTTCTTCCTCCTCACTTTTTTAAGGATTGTGAACACTCTTTGCAGAGCTTCCACGACCTGACTCATTTTCCATCTTTCTGTATTCCTTAAAATCAGACCAAGGTAAATCTTTACTCCAACTAACCTCCTTTCTCTACATTTTACCCAGATTCTTCTCTGAATTTACACAGCCTAAATCTACTTTTCCTTCCCAGTAGCTTAAATCCCCCCCACTGACACCACATGTTGTTTTTAATGTGTTTGTCCTCTTCTCTCATAAAAAGCCTCATCAGACTGATCTTCCTGGTCTGTTAGTTTTTAAAACTTCCCCTGTGAAATCACCCAGAAACTTCTCCCGTGTCCTCATCCACACAGCCACCCAACTTCCTTCAGACCTTCAATTCCAGGCAATTGCACGCATCAGAGAAGATGATGCCTTCTCCCTTCTGCCTGCCTTTCAGAGCCATGTGGCAGATGGGTTCTCCCATCACCCTTAGGCAACAATAGCTATCCACCACCACATTTTGGTGGTCCTGAGGAGGAACATCAGCATCTCTGGGTGGGTGTGGTCCATGGCTTTTCTTCCTCCAGCACCAGAGCTTGACAATCACTTGCAGCCAGTATGCAGTATCTGTTCTTTGACTGAGCAGGTCTACAGAGGGAATGGGAAGATGTCAGGAGCAAGACCTGCCTCCAGATCTCCTTCATCCTCCACAACTGGTCCTACTGCAAATCTCTTCTTCTCTCTAGTGTCTCTTCCTGTTCCTGTAATTAAATCATAGAGTTTTTCAATCTGGAAAAAAAGGATAATGGAGGCAGAATACAGCACAGTTCTATAAAATGAACAGGGAGTGAATGTTTACAGTCTTTCAGAACATAAAATCTTAGGGGGCACCCAATAAAATTGTCAGGCAGCACAGTTTAAAATAGATAAAAAGGAAAACATTTTTGTGTGGCCTGTAAGTTACACTGTGGCAAAATAAATTAAATGAATAAATTCCAAAAGGGACTGACACATTCATGGTGGATGGGTGTTTTGGTAACTATTTAATACTATGCTCTGGATGTAATTTCAGTCTCAGGAAATCTCTAAGCTGTTGATTTTTGGAGGCTGGAAGGCAATAAAAGGACTCTATATGGCCTTATTCTTATACTTTTGTTTCAGTATCTGCTAGCAATCACTGTCAGAGACAGGATACTTGGCTAGACAGGCCTTTGATTTGACTGGCTATGGCACTTACATTTTTTAACACATACTGGAACAGCTTTGCCCAGAATTTGCAGTCACAGAGTTTCTCCTGATCTGTGTGCTACACTCCTGCTCTTTTGCTGATAGCCAAGAAAGACAACTTATTCACTTACAAACTGTTTTCTTTACCAAAATACCTGGGAGCCTCACACAAGGAGCAAGTCCCAATTGTGCCAAAAGCAGTTCAGATACAAACCAGAACAGCAGTCCTTGCTTAAGCAAGCCTGCAGCAAGAAAGGCAGAGGTTTTCTAATGCTGGGATTTCTAGTGCTGAACTCTGAGTTCAGTTTGTCCTGAAAAATATAAAATTTGCCTGCAGGCAGAATATCAGTGAAAGATGCTCTAAATCTCTAAAGGGTGATAAGACTTAGTGAGAAAGTTTTCGTATCTGTTATGTCCCTTGAATGGGGCGTGTACATTCAATGTCATTGGTTCTTTGCATCTCAGCTTGCTGAGCCCAGAAGCTCTCACTGATGTGATTTCAGTTCATAGGTCAAAATTCAAGTCATGGCATCATAACCCCCAAACCTACCCACAGCCTGGGAAAAACAATTTCACATGACCCTCTTCTACAACCCTATTAAGTAAGACTAAGGATGCTTACAGAAAGCTAACAATCAGTTAGCAATACATGCAGTGTATGTAAATACACAGAAAACAATTACATACAGTGTTCACCAAGAAAATGGAAACACTGCTGAATTCACCTGATCCTTAGGCTATGGTGCAAGCTGAAACCTCAGGTAAATGAAATGTTCCCCAAGCATGTCCTTTTCCTGTCCTGCTCTGAAATGTAGGGTGTGAGGAATGCAGATGTGTATGGAGCAAAGCCAAGTAAAATATTCCCTAATATTTTGAGAAATAAAGCTATTGTCTTTTGACATTAGCACAACAGTACATGCAGAAAATTTCAAAGGCACATTAACAGAATCGGTGTAGATCTTACTCAGCAGTTTCAGCAAATTCTGGGCTTTTTCCTTTCGTTTTTGTTTGTTTATTGGCTCTTCTCACTATTCCAGGGTTCTGCTGGAAAGGACAGAAACACAAGAATCAGTTCTACACAGGGCTGAGTGCCATAGACATGGCTGTCTGGTGTGGAAGCTAACGATACCCTGCACCCATGCACAAGGTCCCTGCTGCCTGGCAAGATGAATCCTGCTAACAGGTGTGAGGCTGTAAGCTATTGACGCAGAGATTCAACTGTCATAAGTCCCATAAAGTAGTAGCATTTGGCAGATTCTGTTATTAATGACCCTATGTTTGCCAACAACATAAATTAATAACACTTGCAAGTTAACGAAATTCAAATCATATGAAGATTTTCCTGCATTCTGTCCAAAAAGCGCTTGTAAGAGGCTGATTCATCTGATACCATTTCTATCCCAAGAGCAAGGGAAGACAACTTTCCCACTCTTCCACTGTGGGAAACGGAACCCAAATCAGTACAGATTTAGTCCATTTGGTGTTTGCTGACAGACACTACCCTTTTTCTCTAAGTTTCTCTAAGCTGTGCTTGTTGCTACTTTCTAAAGTGACTGTCCCTGCATTGTAAGGCTTCCCATATGGTAGAAATCCAGCTAATCGGATTGATTTGAGAAACAGAAACAAATAATTTTCCTTGCTGTCTCAGAGCCATGTGGCTGGAAGGTCCCTCAGGATTAATGTGTGAAATCCAAGCCCTGGCACTGTAGTCTTATTTTAGGGAGTTGCAAATACGAACAGAGTGAGAGTTCTGCACTTCCCCCGGGGCGTGATGACGGCAAGATCTCAGAGCATTCACTAATAAATCCATTAACTCTTACAGCCCCTCGTATTTTTTCCTCCCCTTGTGTCATGAACATCTGGCTAATAATCAAGACCTTTCAGGACTGTTTTCGTTTTTTCCTCCTTCAGAAGGAGACATTGGTATCATCACTGAGGTGTCACCTTGTTCGCATCCAGTAAGTGGGCACAAGAACCTCTTACCCCATGGGTACTAGCAAGTCTCAGCAATTCCTTGCTCAGAAATCTCAAATGTACCACTTTGGAGAAGGTATAAGGAAAGCTCTGCCTATCCTTTTCATCCCTCAGCAGTTCCTCATGTCTCTACAATCCCCTCAGACCAATACTTGTACTCTGGTGCTTTCCTACAGAAAAGGGAGCCCAGTGACACCCCTGTTCTCTGTGGGATGATTTGTGCCAGTGCCAAGGCCTATGGTTGTGTCCTCCTGCTTGGTAGTGTGGTCAGACCAGGAAGAACTTCATGATTTGTTTTCCAGGGCTCCCCCAGCTCTTCTCTCTAGAGGTGCTGACCAGGTCCAGGAATCTCACACCGGGGTAGCAAAATCTAGTTTGTCTACAGAACCCCACAAGCTGGAGGTGTTTTTGTGGGGTGTGACAAAGCTTTTGTTATTTTTCCTTAATAGATGGCTGGATGAAGGCAGAAGTGCAAACATGCTCCAGGACAAGGGTGTTTAAAGCTTCCCTTAATTCTTTTTCTTTGAGTTTGTGCACCACTGCAGACGATTGTGGAATGTCCCATTCCAGTGACAACATCCCAGTGCCTCATCACTGTGCTTTCTTCTGGTTTTCTTGTCCCTTGAACATTTTTCCTGAGCTATCCTGCAAAACAAATGCCATCTCTTCATTGATATTTGAAAGATGTTTCAGTGAAGTCAGTTTTGCAGTCCAGGTTGGAACAGCCTGCTCCTTTCTACAGGGAGTGCGGCGGAAAGCTGGGAGGAAGAGAAACACATCACTTGGTTATAACATTAGAGGTATGCAAACTACATTTACACATAAAAAAATATATACTCGAGATTCCTAAGAGCACCCAACAAGGCAACAGCACACCTTCCCAGTTACAAGCTGTGCCTTTGAGGGCCAACAAACTGTGAACAGCTCATTTGCGTGCTGTGACATCGTCCCCTGCCTTGCATTAATTGCACCCTGCCATTTGCCCAGAGACAACGTGTGTTTGTGCAGTTCCTTTTTCCTTTCCTTTCCTTTCCTTTCCTTTCCTTTCCTTTCCTTTCCTTTCCTTTCCTTTCCTTTCCTTGCCTTGCCTTGCCTTGCCTTGCCTTGCCTTGCCTTGCCTTGCCTTGCCTTGCCTTGCCTTGCCTTTCTGTTCCTTTCCATTCCCACAATGCATCCAAGCTCTAAAAGAGGCAATGTGTTATACGTAAAAAGAAATATACGTTAAAATGACTAATGGGGCTTACATAGATGTGGTAATGGATGTCACACCCAGACTGACCTCCATATGCTTCTTTTCCCTCTGTTTTCTCTCTGGAGAATATGATTTCAGTTTTTATCAAATGCGTAAAGATCTTCCAGTTTCAAGGAAATGTTTATTTCATAATTGGATCTGCTATGACATTACTCAGTTTCTGAATATTGCAATTTTTTCCATAGATCACCTGTAATTTCCATGTATACATTATACTTCAGAGAAGAAAATATAGATTATTCACTTGCTAAGTCTTCTTTTTTAAAACAGTTTTCCAGGGTGAATTTTATAAGACTAAGGTATATAATTTTGAGTCAAAGTTTTAAGAAATAGATGATAAAATGCACACATTTAGATGTGTTTATATAACATGAAAGAATGATTTATTAACTTCCTTCTTCAAAAAATAATACATGTAGCAGAGTCCTTTGGGTCCTTTGGGTTTTTGGAGTCACTCTTTTTCCTCATCTGGGTAATTAGCACAAACTCATTTCCCTGTGAAGTAAAAATATCTTTTTGTGAGAAAACCATGACTCTTAGAGCTTCTGGCTACAGAATGAGATTTGATAGAAAGGGATACTTTTCTTTCTGCTTCTTCTGGTCAAGTTAACTATTTAATGGAAATAGGCAGGTAAAAAGTAGAAAAAGATTTCAAACACCCCAAAAGAATCAATGTGAAATTAACTTTCAAAGTGAGTTACATTATTAAAATGTTATTTACTGTTGAAAATCTTCATACAGACACACACAGGTTCATTTTTAAAATGCATTTTGCTAAAAGATTTGCATTGTTTTTCCTTTAATTAGAAAGAGAAATAGATCAGAAAACTGTTTTTATGTTTTTTGTTTGTCTGTTTTTTGTTTGTTTGTTTTGTGGAATCTTCACTACTGTCTGTCACTACTTAACTTTATGAATGATTTATGTTTTAATGACTTTCTTAATCTATTAAAGAAATGAGCAGGTTGAACCAGCCTTCCAATTCTACATATAACATCAAAAGTAAATTCAATTTATTTTAGAAAGTGCCACAGAGGTTTTTCTAATAATACCAGGCAAATTTTCTTAATTAATCTCTCTCCATTGTAATTGGAAGAAATTTGACACTTTTATGTCTGTGTTTCTGATCTGCAAGTACAATTCATCATTTAATAAATTCATCAGTTAAAGCACTTATTATGAAAAAATAATTTGTGGGTACACATTTTAGCTTACAATTACAAAGATCTGTTGTGTTTCTGTACATAAAAATACATTTCTATTCTTTGTACAGAAAGATGTAGTTCAGTTACTTTAATCTTTCAGATGCTTAAGTGCACCCCTTATTTTAAATTCTTCTTAATAAATAAGAAAATAATTAATAACTGAGTTTAAAGACATGTAAAGGTAACACTGTCTGGTTCATACTCCATCATTGTTCTATCCTTTTTTTTTTTTTTTTTTTTTTCCTAGAGCTCATGTGAAAGTGAATTCTTTCCAGGAATTTGTTTTTAATTTTCTAACTCAAATCCTACCAAGTCTCCTGCTAACTGAACAGTGTTTATGTTCAGTCTGCTGTCTAAAATGGATGGTGTTGATTAGTAGTTGAGACTATAGAAAGACAGTAGATAGATGCTGGGGGTGACCTCCCTCACTGGGGTTCTAAGGTTTAATTCAGAAGTATTAAAATTCTTTGAGATCTTTATTGTACATTATAGGAAGAAAGCCTGAAGCCCATGCTTCCTTGGCACAAAGACAACATGACACTATTTTTGGCTCACTCTCTTCCTGCCCCTTTGACCCTGGCTTTCTTAGCCACGCCAGTTTTGACAGCACGAGAAGAGGGTGTTGTTTCCCTGTGCTTGTCCTGCCTAGTGCTCCTGGGGGAGGCTGCAGATCCGAGTTGGAACAGCCTCTGGTTGAGGAGGGGGAAAGTCTCAAGCTTCAGCTTTCAGGGTAAATGCTTTAAAGCTCTGGGCTGTTGCATGAGGCAACGGTTCTGCTTCCCTTTCAGACATAGGGCCTTACTTGAGGATTTGCTGTTTCGTGCAGAGATTAATGCTACAAATACACACCTGGCTTTTCCAGAGGATACCTACTAGACTGGGTCTCCTACCCACCCCCCAGGGATATGGGTGGAAAAGTGTCCGATTTGCAAGCCCTAAAGAGCTGCAGACATCACAGAGGCACCAAAATGCTGGACTCAGAAGGGGTGGCAGACAACCAGGCTGCCAAGTACTGAAAGCACCCAGTGAGTTTTACTGGGGAGACCAGCATTTGTGGCCCTTTGTATCCACTGCAGATTTATGTTTTAGACTTAAACATCTCAGTTCTGCCTCCTCCCCCTTTAAAGCACCTTCAGCAGTTGCTTTGTTCCACTGGACTTCAGCAGGCCGCTGGGCACACAGTTAGGCACTGCCTTTAGGTGACGCTTCCTGAACCTGAGGCAAAAGAGGCTGCCTGTCCTGCAAAAGTTGTTTCAACGCATAGGTTATTCCTTGGGAAGTTTCTAAGCAGGCCTTTTGGTTAAGCATAAACATATTCTTGGCCAACTGATGGAGTCAGATGTTTAAGCAGTTCCATAAAAACCATTATCTAGCTAATTCTTTTAGCTCACTTCTGACAGGATCTGCACAGAAAGGGACCTCTGTAAAACAGGATGAGGCAGGACAGAGATTTCTGCAAAACTGGGTTGTATCCAAAATGACTTACTAAAAAAATGGGCAATATTTTTTGGTTTGTTTTGTTCCAAACCAGTGCTAAGTAAAATTTCCTTTCTATCTGTGTGTCATACTGAAAAGAATTCAACAGGCATGAAAGATTTTAAGGAGATTTGTATTTTATGCCGAATGCTCAATATTTCTTATGGGAGGTTATAAATTCTTCCTCTCTCCTGTATATTTTTGAACCAAATGAAGAAAAATATATCCTGTTGCCAGAGTTGTCTGTTATTATTATTATTTTATTTTATTTTATTTTATTTTATTTTATTTTATTTTATTTTGTAATAACATAAAAATTAACAGCTTCATTTAAAATCATGTATTTGTTTTCTATTTTTCTCTTGTAAAGATAGGTAATAAGCTACATGATATTTGTCTCAAGCAATACTGAAACTATGCGTACATTCATTAACATCTGTGTAGTTTGGCATGCCATCACTTCAGTGTGGATTTTGGGTCTTGACTAATAGAATCACCCCCTTTTTCATTTGGGAAAGTAAAATGCTCATTTGGACTGGATATGTCAGGGGACAGCTGAAACCAAGTGTGGCCCAGTGGTTGTGCAACAGGCGTGAGGAATGGTTGACTTCCTTGCACAAAATTTATGGAACATGTGGCAATTCTACAGAAGAGCAAAAATCACAGGCAGTTAGTCTTTTCCCACATGGTTTTATCCTTCAGGGCCATAGGGCATCATTTACAAAAGCAAATCCAAGTGACTTAACTTGAAAGGAATATAAACAGAAAGACTTTTTAGATTTGGATATGATGCAGCCTTTTGATCATAGGATGCTGTTCCTTCAAAGCCCATTGCTCCTTTTAATTACCAGATATTTAGTCTTTTAATTCCATGTAGTCACAAAGAGAGAAGAAGAGAATCCTTTGTAATCATCTCCTTTCTGTATTTCTCGCCTTTGTGCATTCCTGAGAGTAAAGTTTGATATGAATTCTGCTTACTGTAAGAATGCCATAGAACTGACGTATCACAGCTTATGTGAGTTGTACATCTCCATTGTGGCCTTAAATGATCTTTCTGGCCTATGACCAACTTTGACCAGGCAATTATAGAAATCAAGGTAATTTCAGGATAACATTATTTTTTAAATTTATTTATTTTTAGAACAGTACAATAGAATGCAAACTGGCATTCAGATTTAAGAAAAAGAAGAACAAAAACCTATTTTTTTTTTTGGTATGGTATTGTAAACCCCCTAAACCATGAAAAACCTGAGACTAAGTAGGAATTTCTGCCTATAGTAAACAGAGAATCAGTTGAAAATTAAGCATAACAAGAGAACAAAGGGGAAATAAATAAGGGGAGAGCTTCCACCATTTTCCTGGGAATCAGTGTATCCATACTACTAACAGATTGGAACAGCTGTAGTGATTTATCTGTAATGACCTGTTATTTTCTTTTTTTTCTGATATAGCTAAAAAAGAATATTACCCTATTTGTTTTAGATGACAAAAGGTTCTAACAGCTTGCATTCAGATTGGTCTTTCTAGGAATTGCCAATCCTTAGCTGGCTGTGTTTCCTCTGGAATATGTCTTTGTCTGACATAAACAGGCAGTGCACCCTAAGAACATTGCAGTGTTATCAATTCCCTTTCCCCACCAACACCACAAGCATGAGCTGTCAGGAAACTAATTTGAAAAGACACCCATTTCCAACCTGCTTCATGGTATAACTTGTTGGGTTTGGCCTTGGGACTCTGTCCAAGACAGGAGACTGTCAGATTTTTGCATCTACAGCTATTCTTAGTGTCTTGGAGATACAGGCAAAAAGAATTGCTACAAAGGAAATA